ATGAAGAAATTAATTTTCAGTTGCTTCCCCTCCCCCTCCCGACCACAACAACGCAACTCATTTTCCTTCTCGCTCGCACACTCTGCCGCGTTCAGTGCGCGAGCAACCCCTAGCGGAGGAGATGTAGAATATGAATGGAACATGTACAATCTATATGTTAGATGTAGAATAGACATTGTATATGTAGATGTAGATAGCAGATGTAGCAAAAAAAATGTAATATGTAAAATTTTTTTTTTTCTAATATTCTAAAAAATCATAAGCTCAATAATGTATATACTGACTGAGTACGGGTATAAGTAGAGTCGTGTCCCCAGAAACGACTCACACGTTCCTTCTCGTTTTTGCTACATCTGTTATCTACATCTACATGTATTATGTATATTCTACATCTAACATGTAGATTATACATGTACCATTTAGATTCTACATCTCCTCCGCTAGGGGTTGCTCGCGCACTGAACGCGGCAGAGTGTGCGAGCGAGAAGGAAAATGAGTTGCGTTGTTGTGGGCAGGAGGGGGCAGGGGAAGCAACAGAAAATTTCTTCAGTCTGGCTATAATTATGATCCGATCTGATTCAGATTTGGCAGTCTGGTAGATATGGGCATTCTCTACGATACTGCGTTAGTTTTATCGTATCTTTAAATTGTGTCTGCCACAGATTTTCGTCCGTGTGGGCAGAAGGGCAGGCGTTGGAAATACACGTAGCAGTGTGATATCACATGATTCTGGAAACCAAATTTGGTTGCCCTAACTCTTATAGTCTGAGATCTAGGCGCTCAACAAGACGGACAGACAGATAGACGGACAGACAGACAGACGGACAGACAGACATGGCTACATCGACTCGGCTATTGATGCTGATCAAGAATATATATACTTTATGGGGTCGGAAACGTTTCCTTCTCTGCGTTACACACATCCACTTTTACCACAAATCTAATATACCCAACTCTTTTTTGAGTACGGGTATACAAATTTCAAAAAAATTCTATAATTTTATTAAATAACAAAGATCAGAACTGGGGGGTGTCTTCAAAAAACAGAAAAAATTCCAATATCCTAATTTATATCAACTGGCCAAAGTTGTGCATTCTGCTCCTGCAACGCACGTCAGTGTCGAAAGAGATTTTTCTGTCCTCAGATTGGTTTTATTAGATCTGAGGTGCAACTTATCTTCAGAGTCCTTGCAGGAGCTACTTTTTGTAAAATTGAATATGAAATAAATTTATTAATTTTTATACCCGTACTCAAAAAAGAGTTAAGGGGTATATTAGATTTGTGGTAAAAGTGGATGTGTGCAACGCAGAGAAGGAAACGTTTCCGACCCCATAAAGTATATATATTCTTGATCAGGATCAATAGCCGAGTCTATATAGCCATGTCCGTCTGTCCGTCCGTCTGTCCGTCTGTCCGACTGTCCGTCTGTCCGTCCGACCGTCTTGATGAGCGCCTGGATCTCAGAGACTATAAGAGCTAGAGAAACCAAATTTGGTTTCCAGACTCATGTGATATCACACTGCTACAAGTGTATTTCAAAATTTAGCCCCGCCCCCTTCCGCCCACACAAAGGACGAAAATCTGTGGCAGGCACATTTTTAAAGATACGATAAAACTAAAAACGCAGTATCGTAAAAAATGCCCATATCTACCAGACTGCCGAATCTGAACTAGATCGGATTATAATTATAGCCAGAATGAAGAAATTAATTTTCTGTTGGTTCCCTCTCCTTCTCCAGCGCTGCTGACGCTACTGATTCTCTTTCTCGCTCGCACACTCTGCCGCGTTCAGTGTGCGAGCAACCCCTAGCGGAGGAGATGTAGAATCTGAATGGAACATGTACAATCTACATCTTAGATGTAGAATAGACATTGTATATGTAGATGTAGATAGCAGATGTAGCAAAAAAATGTAAAATGTAAAATTTTTTTTTTATACCCGTACTCAAAAAAGAGTTAAGGGGTATATTAGATTTGTGGTAAAAGTGGATGTGTGCAACGCAGAGAAGGAAACGTTTCCGACCCCATAAAGTATATATATTCTTGATCAGCATCAATAGCCGAGTCTATATAGCCATGTCCGTCTGTCCGTCCGTCTGTCCGTCTGTCCGTCCGTCCGTCTTGATGAGCGCCTGGATTTCAGAGACTATAAGCGCTAGAGAAACCAAATTTGGTTTCCAGACTCATGTGATATCACACTGCTACAAGTGTATTTCAAAATTTCGCCCCGCCCCCTTCCGCCCACACAAAGGACGAAAATCTGTGGCAGGCACATTTTTAAAGATACGATAAAACTAAAAACGCAGTATCGTAAAAAATGCCCATATCTACCAGATTGCCGAATCCGAATCAGATCGGATCATAATTATAGCCAGAATGAAGAAATTAATTTTCAGTTGCTTCCCTCTCCTACTCCAGCGCTGCTGACGCTACTGATTCTCTTTCTCGCTCGCACACTCTGCCGCGTTCAGTGCGCGAGCAACCCCTAGCGGAGGAGATGTAGAATCTAATTGGAACATGTAAAATCTACATGTTAGATGTAGAATATACATTGTATATGAGATGTAGATATCATATGTAGCAAAAAAATTTAAAATGTAAAATTTTTTTTTTTTTCTAAAATTCTTAAAAATCATAAGCTCAAAAATGTATATACTGACTGAGTACGGGTATAAGTAGAGTCGCGTCCCCAGAAGCGACTCACACGTTCCTTCTCGTTTGTTTTAAGAAATATTTTGTTTTCAAGAATTTTTTTTATTACAAAAATGGGTTATTATGGTTTGTCTTGTTTTACTGAGTAAGAACAAATATATTTGCATTTTTTGTATTACCTAAGGAAAAGTCAAAGTGAGGCTTTGAGGCTTATATGCTTTGCACGTTTTCAGCAAATTTTTCATAATAAATAACAAAAGTTCATATACAACAAATTAATATATGACCATATCAAACATAGAAAAGAAGGACAAGTAGTCCCGTTCAAAAAAATCGTAATTTTTGTCTATTACGGACGTTACACACTTTTTGTTACTTTAAGGTGAAGTTGTTCGTTGCCCAGTTTCAGATTTAACACGTGAAATCTAATATAATCTCCTAATTATACGGACGTTACACACATTGCCATTCGAATTTAAAAAAAAGGGCAAAAAAGGTATTTTTTTCATCAGATTAAAGTTCATTCTGTCAAATTAAAAAAAAACTCTATTTTCCGTTACGGACACACAGTGTACCCATTTTTATTTCAAAGTTTTTATATATATTAGATAACTTATATGAGTTTAATCTTAAATAGGAGACAATGAAAAAAATTTTAAGGTTGGCCAAGCGCTAAATACTGAAACGATTGTTTTGCAAACTTTTTTGACCATGGAAGATACCCTATTTTTATACGAATAAATTAAAGCAAGAGTTACGTGTGGGTTTTCCTCGGCCTAGAACAAACAAACCACCGTTTAACCATATTGCTAATATATTTTTAAGCTTGAATATGTATTCTATTAAAAATTTTTGTGATTTTATGGATTTTGTGCATCGCTAAATTTCAGCTTTTGGTTTAAAAATGTTCGGTTTAGCCCATATATGGCCATTTCCCTGAAGCCGAACGGGACATCTTTTTACTTACCGTATTTTGAGCAACTATTTGTATTCGAGATTTTTGCAAAAAACCAAACCATTTGCAGGGGACAAATATGGAATTAGTTTTCGCGGCGATCATTCAAACTCAGATTTCAAAGAAAGTTGGGGCAATATATTAATGCAAATTTCGCTTAATGCTACGCATTGATGTGTCTTTAGAATGGTTATTGTTTTACGCAAGTATGATCCGTAGTTTTTTATACCCGTACTCAAAAAAGAGTTAAGGGGTATATTAGATTTGTGGTAAAAGTGGATGTGTGTAACGCAGAGAAGGAAACGTTTCCGACCCCATAAAGTATATATATTCTTGATCAGCATCAATAGCCGTGTCGATATAGCCATGTCTGTCTGTCCGTCTGTCTGTCTGTCCGTCTATCTGTCTGTCCGTCTTGTTGAGCGCCTAGATCTCAGAGACTATAAGAGTTAGGGCAACCAAATTTGGTTTCCAGACTCATGTGATATCACACTGCTACAAGTGTATTTCCAAATTTAGCCCCGCCCCCTTCCGCCCACACAAAGGACGAAAATCTGTGGCAGACACAATTTTAAAGATACGATAAAACTAACGCAGTATCGTAGAGAATGCCCATATCTACCAGACTGCCAAATCTCAATCAGATCGGATCATAATTATAGCCAGAATGAAGAAATTTTCTGTTGCTTCCCCTGCCCCCTCCTGCCCACAACAACGCAACTCATTTTCCTTCTCGCTCGCACGCTCTGCCGCGTTCAGTGCGCGAGCAACCCCTAGCGGAGGAGATGTAGAATATGAATGGAACATGTACAATCTACATGTTAGATGTAGAATAGACATTGTATATGTAGATGTAGATAGCAGATGTAGCAAAAAAATGTAAAATGTAAAATTTTTTTTTTTTCTAAAATTCTATAAAATCATAAGCTCAAAAATGTATATACTGACTGAGTACGGGTATAAGTAGAGTCGTGTCCCCAGAGACGACTCATACCTTCTCGTTTTTTTTTAATTTAACTAAAACCATATTCGCACGGGGCAAAAATTTCTAGGTTAATAACAGTTAAAAATAAACCATTAGCCGAGATTGAACTATTTTTCTCGTATTTCTGTTAGATAGTTTAATGTGTTATTGGATTGTATTCGATAATAATGAGCCTGCAACTTTTTCACACTTTTAATGTAATCTGTGGAAAGATTAAAAAAAGCAAAACACATTTCTTAAAAATCCAAAATTCTCTAAAAAAAAAAGCCAAATCTGACGGGAAATCCCACACACGTATGAAGCCAAATAATTACCAACACCCAACTCACGCTTGTGCTGAAAAACCACTGCATTATAGAAAAATCAATCATTCGATACAAAAAACCCCGGGGATTGCCATTCTCAGATTCTGAACATACACTTTTATTAAAATTACGAATTTTTTTAGTCCGGCTTAAACTTCAAATCGGCTACAAGAGCAATGTGATCTGATGGGAAACAGATAGATGGTATAGCAGTATGAGCGGTTAGTTGTTCTTGCGTTGGCAAAGGTACACATTGTAGTAGTTCAAAGCAATCCTGTTGGCAAAATATATAATCCAAACATCCAGAAAAGAGAGTCGTGTAGTTTGTATACTTAGGTGTACCGCAGGCTGAAAACATTTTAAAAGGCTGCGCAAGCTCCACATCAAAAACGGCTTCATCAATATCTGAAAAAGATTAATTTTTGATTAATAGTTATCAGTTTTTTATATACAATTTCGTTAACCTACTGCTGCACCAATCATTTAAATTTTTATCCACGAACTGCTCGGTCATTAATTTGTAGATTCCGCATTCAGGAACACTATTAAAGTCACCGCAAAATATCAGTCCAATATTTTGTGGGTTAGTGATATTATGTTCCATCATAGACTGCTTATGTATGTGCTCTATGTAAGTCAGAGCAAACCCGATTTGCAACAACCTGATGTGGTCTGCGTCCGGGTGGAAATATAAATGTGTGTTAGCCACCAGCACGTACTTATCTGTTTCCTTAACTTTAAGCAAACATATCTGCAATTATAATGATTATTAATTTTCTCTTATAATTTTACGAAGTATTCAAATGTACCTGTAGTGTTGTTGATCGATTACAAATGCGTGCAGCTAATTGCTTATTGGTTTTAATTTTGTTCCAAAGAGGTTCGAAGATAGACAAAGAAGGTATGCTTTTGCCTAAATGCAGCACATGAGACCCCAACAAATCAAAACGCGACCTACGAAAGAAAACGGAAACACCTTCAGTGCATATTCCTTTTGGTGCCATCATTCCATAAAAATTGTGTGGTGGCATTTCCAGTACATTTTTCAAATCGACGTCGAAAATCTTTTGGTCTACTTCTTGAAGACAAATTAAATCAGTATTGTACCCTATGAGTTCTTTTATTAATAGCTGTTTTCTATAGTCAATCAGCAGTGATTGTGGTGAACAATAGGGAAATAGGGTTTGACGAGAGTATTCACTGTCCGCATACAAGTCAGCCAATATATTATAGGTTACCACCCGAATATGGCTAGGCTCACTTAGTAACTTTACTGTGTGTTGCTGTCGAATCTGAAAAGGAAATACATCTGGCACGGCCTGTACCACACATTTTGAGATTTCTTCTGCAATAGGTCCACTTATTCCTTCTTTATTGCGAGGAGTAACAGCAAACTTTATATAGTATCCAACGTCTTTTTGTGCTACTTGATAAGTCAGACCTTCGCCACATTTCTCCCAATTCGCCGTTATGGCTTCTCGCTGTAATGTGATTTAAGTCGATAGAAAAATAACAGAAGAGAATATCTTAGATTTTGTACCTGTCTTGATTTGAGCCACATACCGTAGCAATGCTCACGAACAGCAAACTGAATATGAAATTTATTTGGGTAAATCAGGAAGCCTGCTAATATGCACTTCGGGAGTTGCAGGAAATCTACCCACGGTTGGTTTAACACTATAGAAAATATTTGATCTATCACTCGCAGTTTTACACCAGAAAAATTATTTTGTAGGAGTTCAGCCAGCGTCATCTGATTATAGCTGCTATTACATCCATCCCGATACATTTCAATTTGTATCTTCACAGGGTTTTTCATAGTTAAATTCAAAAAAAGTTATATTAGCTAAATTTAATATTTACATAATTATATGTTTGCAAAAACTTAGACAAGCAATTCTGCAATGATATAGCATCACAGAACGTGGCAGGATTTCTTTTTTTTTAATTTACCTGAGGTAGGGCTCTTGTCTTTTTTTCAGAAGATGAGCGCCGTTTACTGGTTTTATTTAAACATTTGTCAATCTCTTTTTCGACATTGTTTCGAATGCGGACAAGGAGTTTAAAAACAGGCTCATCTTTTTTTCGACAGAAGTTAAAATCTCGATCCACGTTAAGTTCATGGTTAACATACCGAAATACAATATTTATTTCATCAGTAAATTCAACATTGCGAATATATACTTTATTCATATCCATAGTAATACGTCTACAATTTTTTGTTATATTACGAGCGAACCTCACGTAGACTGAGACCGACTGCAGGAACATGGTAATAGAAAACTATCGGCACACTATAGATAGTATCGATAGAAATTAGTGGGCTCTTCTTGGTGTTATAAGCCACCACCAGTTCATACAACGAAAGTGCGCCAGCTGAGATTTCAGCGTACGGTCCCAGGTCTTCGGCTCTGGGACCGACGGCGTTCAGTTCTGGGATCGATCGCGTTCGGCTAATGACGTCACACGAGTCGACTGACAGCAAGCCGACTAACACTCAAAAATATATGATTGTAGCACAGAATAATTTTTAGCTGCCGAAACCGATTTTTTCATGAGATTTCAGGTTACGTAAATATGTGTGTTGCATGTTTTCTCACATACAGTGTTTGTGTAGGTTTTACAATTTTTGGCCGCTTGAACCGAAATTGGTTTTTCGTTTTGTTTTGAGGGCTGATGTAGCGACCTGCGCTGACCTGCCGCAACATAAATGAGAAATGGGCTCAGTAGGAGGGAGTGGGCGTGGGAAATAAATAAAAGATGTTATATGTTTTATTTATTTTAAATTTCACACTTCCATATACATATCCCTGTTTTAGACATGTATATACTAAATTAAATGTGTATTTACATAAATATTGTGCAAATGCTTTCGACTTTGCCACTTTTTCAAAAAATTTATATTTTTCAGATAACTTTTTATTACGATAAAATTATGTACAAGCGTATATCTTTCTTTATATATATGCATGGTACTGGTATATACATACATATATATTGTGATTTTTTACCACTTTCTTTTATTATATATGTACATTGATTTTTACTTATGTATATAAATATTGTGTAAGTGCCGTCGGCATTTGACTTCGTTCCTGACGTACTGTCAACTTTGTCAATAAATTTATGTTTTTCAGATTATATAAGACAAGTGATTTAAACTAAAATAATTTTATATATATATGTATTTATACCCGTACTCAAAAAATAGTTAAGGGGTAAATTTTATATTTCTGTCTGTCTGTCCGTCTTGATAAGTGCCTAAATCTCAGAGACTATAAGAGGTAGAGCAGCCAAATTTTGTTTCCAGACTCTTGTGATATCCCACTGCTACAAGTGTATTTCAAAATTTCGCCCCGCCCCCTTCCGCCCTCACAAAGGACGAAAATCTGTGGCAGCCACAATTTTAAAGATACGATAAAACTAAAAACGCAGTATCGTGAAGAATAACCATTTCTACCAGCTTTCCGAATCTTATTCTTATTCTACACATTCTTTTTCTCGCTCGCCCACACTCTGCCCTGTGCAATGCGCGACCGTTGCGAAGAAGATGCAATCTACATTGTAGATGTGTAATCGACATAGTAGATGTAGATAACAGATGAGGCAAAATATAAAATATTTTAAAGTTCTACATAAATCATAAGCTCACAAATGTATATTCTGACTGATACGGGTATAAAAGTAGAGTCGCGTCCCGAGAAACGACTCTCACGTTCCTTCTCGTTACATATATGTATATGCATTTATGAATATATATGATCGTATTTATCGTAATAAAAAGTTCTCTGAAAAACATAAATATATAAATATATATATAAAAATATAAAGTTGCAAACCCGAAAGCCGACGGCCTTTGCACAATATGTAATTTTAAAAAAAACCTGTCTAAAATAGGGAATGTATATGTCGGAGATGTATAATGAAGATGAATGAAAACCGATGAAAATGTAAATGTAAAATGTATAGAGATAAGAAACAGAGTCAATAAAGGAGAACAGAAACTACGCAGTAATTTATCCGTTGTGCCTTCTATTCCCATTGCTGTTGAGAGCGAGCATTGAGAGCGAGAGAGTGTCGTCTCAGCCGAGTGTGGCGCGGTTGTGTGTGGGATGCCTCTGAGAGAGAGGAGGATCGAAAGGGAATTGCTAAAGAGAGAAATTGGATAATGCAATACGGTGTTATGTATTGCTTAAGCAAAAAGAAGAAAACGAGAAGAGGAGTTTTCAGTTTGCTGACGAAATTGAATGAGAGAAGACATAACCGCGATTCACTGCGCTCAAGTGCCACAATGCAGGAGGAAGAGCACCCAAATTTTCTGCCGCCGACATATAGTAAATTTGCAATTTCAAATAAATCAAACAATTAACATCCTTTATTAATATATATTGTATTTATTTCCCACCCCCACCCAGTCTGCTCATTACCCATATATGTTGCGGCAGGTCAGCTCAGGTCGCTACATCAGCCCTCAAAACAAAGTGGAAACCCAATTTCGGTTCAAGCAGCCAAAAATTGTAGAACCCACACAAACACAGTATGTGAGAAAACATGCCACACACATATTTACGTAACCTGAAATCTCATGAAAAAATCGGTTTCGGCAGCTAAAAATTATTCTGTGCATACAATCATATATTCTGGAGTGTTACACGTACACAATTACAAGCTTGCTGTCAGTCGGCTCGTGTGACGTCATTAGCCGAACGCGGTCGATCCCAGAACCGAACGCCGTCGGTCCCAGAGCCGAAGACCTGGGACCGTACGCTGAATTCTCAGCTGCGCCACTTTCGTTGTATGAACTGGCACATCTATATACTGTAGTGGTATAGGCTGGCACTAACGCGTGGGTATAACAGCAGTAAATTTTGCGCTTAACAGTACAGGAAATAAACCTTACTTTTGCGAATGCCAGAGCGCCTTGAACTAAAAAGTGTTTGCTGAAAACGTAAAACGCAAAAGTAAGTGAAAGCTGGAGCATGTCTGAGAATGTCAGCATCACTTTCGATAGAATTTCTCTTCAATTCCATTCCGCGGTGCCCCACACCGATTTTTACGCTGATTTAAAATAGTGCTCTATTGATACAGTGAGTTAAATAAAAACACCCTTAAAACACACTTAAAATATTCTAATTTTACATTTCCATAGAGGTTGTTCAATTGGTGTTCAATATGTTAAGTTAATAAAATAAGCATTTCAGTAAATCATGATCCAATCCGCTGACTGAATTTTCATTTAACGCTCAACCCACGGGCTTCCGAGGTGCCCACCTGGTGTGATTCGGACTTTCGAAGTTAGGACAGTAAATCCACCTTTTTTAAGCCGAATTCGGACCAATGTATTTAATAATATTTATATTGAAAGCATTCTGTTTTCTTTATTTAAGCATTAATCTTCCTTTATTCCTTCTTTCCTTCCTTGATTTTTCTTCGGTATTTTTGTCAAAATGTTGACTTTTAAAACTCATTAATATATGTGTATAGGTGCATTAATTAAGCGTCGTTTAAAGTAATCTATACTATAAATTTGTAGAAAAAAATCTGTGTGTAAGCGGCTATCTCCGCAACGCGTGCACCAAATTGCATGCTGTTTTTTTTTAAATGATAGCCAGAGAATGTGACCTGGTTTGCACAAACAAATTTGCACTTTTCTATAAATAGGTTCCTCATGAATTAAAAATGAATCAAAAAAATCTTAAATTTGGTCCAAAAGTGTGTGTTTGAACGCCTACTTCATTTCATTTTGTGTCCTTCTGTAGAACAAATTTGGTCTAAACATGTGTGTTTGAACGCCTATTTCATTTAATTTTGTGTCATTCTGTAGAACAGAACATTTGATGATAGATTTTGTTTTTTATAACTTTTTGTGTGAAAATTTGTTTTCTGAAAAAATTGCAATTTGTGTAAGTATATTTGTTGCTTTTGAAAATGTGTGCGTTTTAAGCCAACCTGTGTGGTTTTTAAAGTTAAATGTCGAGACGATTAAATTTGGGTCGGCGAACGCGAAATTCGTTTCAAGTTGTGGCTTCAAGGAGCCGTGAAAGTAGCCAAGACATTATACATCGCAATGGAAAAAATCGTCTACGCACAGCAAGATCCCGTTCAAATCAACGGAAAAATGACGCAACAACAACTGCAAATGAACGTCGTGATATTCAAAATCTACAAGGTGTTGCGTTTGCGTACAGTAGTGTCACCGATTACGCTTCTCATAGGCAAATTATAATTGGTCCAATGAACGACCGTTGTCGCCATTGTCAGGCATTAAAATTTAAAGGTGAAGCAGATGGGATGTGCTGTGCGAATGGTAAAGTGAAATTGCCTGAATTAGGCAGCCTACCACAACCATTGAGCACGTTACTTAATGGATTGACACCTGAGTCTAATCATTTTTTGAACAATATACGAAAGTATAATTCGAGTATTCAAATGACATCTTTTGGCGCCACAAATATTATAAGAGACAACTTCATGCCAACGTTCATGGTAATTATATTGTTTTGTTTATGCAAATTGTACGTTTGTTCTCATTCTATCATATATTTTATTCAGATTCAAGGTCAAATATACCATCGAGCTGGATCTTTGTTACCTTTTGACAACGCAGACCACCAATTTTTGCAATTATATTTTATCGGGAACGCGGAAGACGAAGCTGATCGTCGGTGTGCCATTATTACTAACACGCGGAGACAAATTATTTTCGATTTGCAAAATATGTTCCATGAGCACAACGAATTGGTTCAGGTTTTCAAAACATCGCTTGATCGAATGCCATCTGACGATCATAAAATTATTATGCAAGGCGTTTCAATGCACAAACAGTTGACGAAGTGGCAATAGTCATAGTTGGTGAGCAATTTAATAATCGTGGTATTGTGCTTCATAGTAGAAATGAACAACTTGAATGTGTATCCGAGACTCATCGCTGTTATGATGCACTACAATATCCCATATTGTTTTGGAGCGGACAAGATGGTTATAATTTCAACATTAAAATGATAAATCCAGTAAACGGTCGAGAAGGAACAAAAAAAGTTAGTGCTATGAATTATTACGCATACAGGCTGCAGATACGGCAAAATCAAGACAACCACATATTGAGGTGTAGAGCACTTTTCCACCAGTTGTTGACATGTATGCAAAAATTGAATCGGAACGGTTAAATTTTCTTCGATTCAACCAAGCCAAATTACGTTCCGAAGAGTATGTTCATTTGCGTGATGCCATTAACAACGATGGTAAAGCACAAAACGTTGGAACTATGATAATATTACCGTCATCGTATGTTGGAAGCCCACGTCATATGTTTGATGTCATACGTTACGGTCGACCAGACCTCTTCATCACCTTCACGTGTAATCCGTAATGGGAAGAAATCTCGGAATTATTGTTTGTTGGCCAAACATCGAAAGATCGCTATGATATTTTAGCACGTGTTTTTAGACAAAAAGTGAAATCACTCATGGATTTAATTGTCAAACACGGTGCATTTGGGCCTGTTCAATGTTGGATGTATTCAATTGAATGGCAGAAACGAGGTTTGCCTCATGCGCATATTTTGAATAAAATTGACGATGTGATTTCGGCAGAAATTCCAGATCCGACAGTGGATCCTGAATTGTTTGAAGTGGTCACCAAAAATGTGATTCACGGTCTATGTGGTGCGTTGAATTTGAGTTCACCCTGTACGGTTGAAGGGAAATGCTCCAAACGTTTTCCAAAAAATTTGGTCTCCGATACAGTGACGGGCAACGATGGATATCCCGAATATCGGCGTCGATCAACTAAAGATAATGGCCATTCGGTAACTTTGAGAGTTAAAAATCAAGATTTGGAGATTGATAATTATAACTAATTATAATTATGATAGCGATTATAATCGTTGGGTTGTGCCATATTCACCGTTATTGTCTAAGATTTATAAAGCGCACATAAACGTAGAGGTCTGCAATTCAGTTCAATCTATTAAACACATTTGCAAATACATCAACAAGGGCAGTGATATGGAGCAGTTGCTAATGTTACCGATGAAATCACTCAATTTCAAATGGGCAGATACATCAGTTCAAATGAAGCAGTATGGCGCATATTATCATTCCCGATCCATGATAGGCATCCAACTGTAGTTCATTTAGCTGTTCATCTTGAAAACGGTCAACGCGTTTTTTTCACACCCGGAAATGCAATGCGAAGAGCTGCGCAACCACCAGCAACAACTCTAACTGCATTTTTTTCGTTGTGTCAAGCAGATGATTTTGCGAAAACATTGCTATCCGCCGAAGTACCCGAATATTATATGTGGAATAATTCGTCAAAAGTTTTTCAAAGGCGAAGACGCGGAAAAGCCGTTCATGGTCAGCCAGTATTGTTTCACTCAGATGCTATAGGACGAATTTATACAGTTCATCCTAACAATCAAGAGTGTTATTATTTGCGATTGTTGCTAAATGTTCGTGCACCAACATCATTTGAATCTTTGCGAACTGTTGATGAAGAATTGTGTGGGACGTATCGCGAAGCATGCGAACGATTGAATATGCTTGAGAATGACATACATTGGGATCTTACTCTTGAAGATGCAGCATTGTCATCAAGTCCACATCAAATTCGGACACTTTTCGCAACTATTATAGCGACGTGCAGTCCAGCAAAGCCAATTGAATTGTGGCAAAAACATCAAAATCATTTGTCAGAGGATTTTTTACATCGATTGCGCCGTCAAACGGGTGATATAAATGTGGACTATACGCCGGAAATTTACAACGAAGCATTGATTGCTATTGAAGACCTTTGCTTGATGATGGCAAGCAAAGCATTAGCTCAATTAGGTATGACAGCGCCTAATCGTGATATACACGACCTTTTCAACAAAGAACTGGAGCGTGAACAGCAGTATGATCGTGCCGAGCTTAATGCGTTTGTGCAAAACAATGAGCCACGGTTAAATATCAACCAAAGAACGGTTTACGACCAAATATTGCGAGCTATCGAAGAACAACATGGTGGACTGTTCTTTTGGATGCAGCTGGAGGTACCGGAAAAACGTTTGTCATTTCGATTATTTTGGCTACCATTCGAGCACAAGATAGAATCGCATTGGCTTTGGCTTCGTCTGGCATCGCTGCCACATTATTGGATGGTGGTCGCACGGCGCACTCTGCCCTTAAGTTGCCATTGAATATGAAGGCTGACGATAATCCCACATGCAACATTTCAAAAAGATCAGCAATGGCGAGAGTGCTGCAGCAATGCTCTCTTATTGTAGAAGTCACTGGAAGCACTTAATCGTACGTTGAAAGAGCAATTTTGGCCGGAACGCATCTATTTTGAATTCTATCCCAGGAGAAATGGTTGCGTATAGGTCGGTTGATACAATTATCAATCAAGATGATGTTGTAAATTATCCAGTCGAATTTCTAAATTCATTGGACTTACCTGGATTGCCGCCATACTATTTACTAGTAAAAGTTGGAACCACCATAATTATGCTGCGGAATCTTAATCCACCACGACTTTGCAATGGTACAAGACTTGCTGTGAAAAAAGTTATGACTAATTTACTTGAAGCAACTATTTTGACTGGGAAATTTTGTGGTGAACACTTTTTAATTCCGAGAATTCCGATGTTTCCGACTGACATGCCATTTGATTTCAAACGACTACAATTTCCGATTCGTCTTGCTTTTGCTATGACTATTAAAAAATCACAAGGACAGTCGTTGCAAATTTGTGGTTTAAATTTGGAGCATCCGGTATTTTTCCATGGTCAACTGTATGTAGCGTGCTCACGAGTAGGCAAACCTTCTTCATTAATTATTCATTGTACCGACGGCAAAACAAAGAATATTGTTTATCACAAAGCATTGCAATAAATAAAATATTTTCAATTTTCAATTATCAATTGTGAAATGCAAAAAAAAAAAGCAAAAAATAAATGTTTTCTAAACAGTTCTAATTTAAAACGCGCTCAAAAATGTTGGTCAAGTGGATTGTGTACTTTTTAAATCAGTTTATTAGAGTAACAGTAAAAAAATGTGAAAAAGGGGGTGCCAAAATAACCTTGCGGGAATGGCGCTAAGCTTTGCTTCGCAGGGACTGGCGGGGCGCCTTAGACCCCTCATTACATGCCGTTGCGCAGCCGCTACAACTCTTTTCGTTTCCGCATGACCTCCGATGCGAATGCAGAAACCCGTGACCAATGAGAACCCTCGCGATTAGCGAGTCTCCACCGATGTCCAGCCGGTGCTCTTTTCACCATGCGCAGGTGAAGAGTATGTGCCCGTGGACTCCTCTACGCCGCTCTTCATTCAGTTTGCGTGATCGTCGTGGCCAAATCGATGGAGGTAGCTTCTTAAGCAGCCGTGCGCGCTTAGGAGTTGGGTTATGGCCGCATCGTCCGAGATGCAGACTCGCAGGGCTTCAGCCCAGATTGGGGCTGCTTACATCATTTCTGATTTAAGCAAGAGTCTGACCTTGTTTGGGTCGCTGACAGCGCTCTGCCTAGGGCAGCTGCCTTCTTGCTGGCTGCCTCAAGGTGCTCGCGGATGGAGAGGCGAGTGTCCAGCAATACCCCAAGGTAGCGGATTGCTCGTGAAGATGTGATCTCGAAGGAACTAGCACAGTCTCCACCACGACTTTCATAAAACTGGATATCAAAACCGCTTCCGTCTGGTGTTCCGACAGCTTAAGTCCCACAGACGACAACCACTCTTGGATCAAAGCTACCGCTTTGTTGTACCTGGCCTTTACTTCCACGAGGTGCTTGGCCACCACTACCAACGCGATGTCATCATCGAATCCTAATGTCCGTGCACCGTCGAGGCAGTACAGTTTCCGTCCTCCTAGCCACCTGGTTTCCTCCATAGCTTTTACTTTCCTAAAGGTGAACTGCATGGGTCGTCTGCATGAGTAATTGCTGCTTGGAGCTTCCTGCAAATGCATCTCTCCAGTGCCTTGCCGACGTTGTCGATCAGTTTGATAGGCATGTAGGATGAGGGGTGGCTTTTTTGGCTTCGGCAGCAAGACCAGCTTCTGGAGCTTCCATGGCTTTGGGATGACTCCTTTCCGAAGGCACATAGATTTGGTAAAATTCGATCCCTATTCCTCTGAGCAAGCTTTTAAGTCGCCGGCTAGATTGATGGACGGTTAGCGTCGTCTGCTATCTGGTTGAGAATGGTGCCATAGAGATGGTACATGGCATGGTGCAAGATAGCATCTGAAAACCCAAAGCTGGCCAACCTTGGCTCTTACGTAACCGTTTACCCTGTGAACAGACTCAGCTAGCGAGATGTAACGCCCACATACCAATATCGCTGCCGTTTTGTCCTGTCGAGAATATAATTGGTATTGCTAGTTCTGCGGTATGGCTCCGAGAGAACTGCTACATCCGCTGTCGTTTCTGTGACTAGCTGGCTCTGGTCGTCTGCTCGGGCATCTCTTGATGAAAGCTATGTGAACAGTGAAGCAGTGTCTCTGGCCTGATCATTCTATGATCCTCACCTCCTTCGCCAAGGGGTTCGCAAGCCCAACGATAGCCACGTGGGAACTTCCCTATCCCGGCCGCAGGGCCCTATTGCTTCCTATTTCCACCGGATGCTCAACTTGGGCCGATAGTGCGTCGGCGATCTACTTTCGTGGCTAGGTCGTCGCGGATCTCGATTAACGTTTCGCTTACTACCGCCCTGACGTCTGCTTATGTGCCAAGCACCTGGCCATCTCCTTTGGGTTGTGTTTTTCTTCATTGAGCTCTAGCAGGAGCTCTTCCTTTGCTATCTAACGGACTGCATTGACGTTGTTGCCGACTTCTTTTAGCTTTTCGTCGCTTCCTATAGTCCCCATCCTGAGAATGTCGCTGTAGGAAAGGTCTCCCTTGGTGGTAATTATTATACCGTCTGGACTATTTCGCTTGTGTGGGTCGTTGTCACTCTGGGTCTTGTTGGTCGTACTACAGGTGCGTGGCTTGGCCGGCTTCTGGGCCTGCTGCTGACGCTAGTTCAAGTCTCTTCCTGCGGGGCTTCTGAAATTTGGGTCGATGCCTCCGTTAGCTTTCATACGAATGGGGATGTCTGCTGGGGCATTATCTCTGGTGTGTCAGCTTCGAGCTGCTCCTCTTGTATCCTCGCGCACATTGACGAGTGCAGCTCTTTTAGGTTGTATAGTGACTCCCTTGTCGCCTGATTTATGTAGCGAGCTGCCGGTCTTTTCTCAATGATCCGAGAATCAGCCCATCTAGGATCACTCCCATTTCGGTGGTCAACTAGCTGCTGTGGGAGCTGTTTGAAGTGGAAAATGTATAGGAGCGAAGAAAATGGAAAAAGAAAAGGGGGAGGCTCCGGGCGTTGAGTGAAAGAACTAAAACGCACTCAAGGTGGGCCCCCTTGCTCCTTTGGATGACCGTTGAAGAGCGGCGAGCAGCCCGGATCAGGATATGTGTGTGATTTGATCTTCCAAGGTGAGCACGCGGTGTCAGTATACGCTTATACTAATCCGGGTATTTTTCGCGGGGAGTTTTAGCGATTTTGAATAAGTGCATTGTGTAGTCTAAGGTTATTGCTTGTTTACGTTGTTAAGATATATTAAAAAGAATCTGCAAGCGTTTAAATACAATATATTGAATTTATATTATAAATTAGTATTTTTTTTTGAGAGAGTACTTTCGCCTGATTTGAAAACTTGTCGTACATTAATATTAATTCGTGAATCATCAAGATAACATGAAAAAGGTTGCCAGAAATTCCTGTCGCCCACTTTTTGAAACAAGGCAATGTCCAAAAAGTTGTCTTTGAGTTTTTCAATTTCTATGTCTTTAATCGACAGTTCAGAAGTCCATGATATTTGTGTTTTGATAATACGTGGCACTGCGTGATAGCAGAGACGGGATTCCTCTGACATTATTAAAACGTCACCACTATGGATATATAGTGCGGTTGGTATTTCATCGTTAGTTTTTCCACCGATAAGAAATATTGCAGTCTGTCCAAAGCTGTGAAATAAATATAAAATATAACTACGTGATTTTAAATATATTATTGAGTATGACACTTTATTTCGAGTGCATGTTAATCTACCTAAAAGAAAACAATGGAGCAGAATGATTAGGTTCAGAATGATCTGTGTGACCAGAAAGACTTGTGCCTATCGGGTAGTAATTGACAATAGCAGCTTCCGCTTTAAAATTTTGGAAGCCCAAAATAGATGAAAAAAATGTACAAATGCTGTTTAGATCATTTGGAAATGGTGAATGCATAGACTCGTCGTAAATCTTGGTTTCCCAATTATGATGATAACCAAATGTTGTCCAACGCATTGCTACTTTTAGTCGCTGCATCTCAATGATATTATCACATTGATGGATTTCTTTCCACCAGTCTGATCTAGCGGAACCTGGGAACAGTCTTTCATTCAAATTAACCTTGTTTGGTGCTCTCGGATAGTCTCGCAGACAGCGAGCAATCCAATAACGCTGACCGCGCTCTGTAAACGGGTTTCGTATAACCAATAATCCCGGATGATTATCAATAGTATAAGAGCGCCAAACATTTAGCGGTTTTAGTCCAGCAGGTAACTACTTACATGGGAAGACATCGGCAAATCGTGACATGTAAGTAGAAAGGGGAAAAGTATGTCTTTTAGTAACCATTTAAAAGTTATATTTTCTATTTTTATTGCTAACAAATCTATGTGTATAAAAATGTTGTGTTCGTTGCATTCGAAAAGTACTGAACCGTTTGAGCCCAAATTTAAAGACACTATAGAGTCAGGTTTAAGCTCGGTTTTTATCTTCCTTTATGTCATTTACAAGCTAACGAAGCTCTGAAAATCGCGATTTAATTATTTTTGTATAAAGTAGGTCTTTCAATGGCTGTCTAACGTTAGTATTGTTTTCGATTCCCTCAAACATTTTTTTTCGGTCGAGAGTCCTTTTCTCCTCTTTCAGTCAAAAACGAAATAATGCATGCGTCGTCGTACTCGCAAGGCAGAAATTACGAGAATAAATTTTTCGAATAGGACGAAGGAAGAGCGGGAATCGAACAGTGGGCAATATGGCTAGCGGAAGTTAATTCAAATGTTAAAAAATTGAAAAAACCGTTCATTTTTGTTTACCAATCGATAATAATAAATTTGATTTTTAAATATTTTTCATAAGCTGTCAAACACAAAATATATTTCTGCAAGGGATTTACAAATAATTTTTTTCGTTGTGTGCATTGTTGTCAAATCCCTGTGAAATTGGTAATCCACTCTTTTTATATCAAAAGTTTGGTTTAATAAACTTCAAGTTATGTATTACATAGAAAATCAGTGCTTATGACCGCTCAATATATGTGTGGTAGTTGTAACTGTAGTTGTAATTATGTGTATTAAAAACGAGAATTTAGTAGCATACACCTGCGTTGCTTAATACTCGTATATATTACTATATCCTTTGTATAGGAGACGTTCAACCGAAGATAGTAGGACTTCGGGAACTTTAGACATACGATGTGGTGATATTGAGGTAGACAATCGTGGTGGTGGCATATTCGCCACTTTCAAAATCATGCAAAGCGCACATAAACGTAGAGTATTGTAATTCTGTGAACTCGTTCAAATACATCTGCAAGTATGTGAATGGAAGTTTTTGATGTTTCAGCAGAAAATGGGGACAGGAATGCGGTAAGAGTTGTCGATGGAATTGAAAATAGGTGTACCAATTATCAAGCTCCGGAATATTAATCAGCCAAAACTCTGCAACGGTAATCGACTCGCGGTCAAGAAATGAATAAACAACGTGGTAGGATTCCTAGCATTCCCATGATCCCGACTGATACACCATTTCAATTCAAAAGATTGCAATTTCCCAATCGATTAGCATTCGCAATGACAATTAATAAAGCTCAAGGTCAATATCTGCAATTCTGTGGTTTAGACTTAGATGCGGATTGCTTTTCACACGGACAATTGTATGTTGCGTGTTCCCTTGTCGGTAAACCAGATAGCCTTCATTATTACGCGCAGAATGGAGAAACGAGAAATATTGTATACCAACAAGTACAAAATTAACATTTTTAAAACTTATGCTTTCTTGTGTTTTACAACCACAATATGCCACAGTATTTTATATGTGAGCATTAGATATACTCGATGTTTATTATGGTTATTGCCATGGCTCGTCACAAACGGCGGATTGTAAACGGATCTACGCCGTTCGGGAACAACAATCAAACTGATATACACAGAGCTAACGAACCATGACTCTAGCCACGGTTCTCCACAAATAGCGGTGTGTCAGCTCCTCCGGGAAATAAAATAGTCTTAAGCAACGCACACAATTAATTAAGAACTCTCGATCAACAACTGTACACATTTTTGTCCACACAACAATTTAAAACACCCCACCTCTTGGGACATTTCGCAATCGACGGCCTACATAAGAAATATCATTTGCGTTATTTCACAATAAGTCAAGCCAGCATAAAATTATCGACCTACTAGCCCAAATTCAGCTATCACCTTCCGCGATGCCGAGTTAGCAAAATCAATCCTACTGCGATGCAGTCTCAGCAAAACCTTTTCCTGAACACTTCTGACCCACTAGCAAATTGTTAACGAAGCACCCAGCTTCGACCCACTTGCCACAATTATTGCCACCCAATAATCATAAGTTAGCAATAATTAATTATTTCCGGGTCAAAGACAGGTGCGATCGCCAGCTGCATAAAAGGGCCAAGATCGGACGAAAAAGCAGGCAGTCCATCAGCCCGAACACAAGACACTGCACGAGGCAGTCCATCAGCCCGAACACAAGACACTGCACTAGGCAGTCCCTCAGTCACACACCCAAGACACTGCACTAGGCAGTACGTTAGACCGAACACACGACATAGCACTACGCAGTCCACCAGCGCACCATACAGCCAACAGGCAACAACGTAAATAACTAAGTGAATGAAAAGTACTGAATAAACCAAGAAAAAACAAAACAAAACTCTCGCGTCATCATTTCTCCCATGCCTACTGCATTTCAAGCCAGCCCGACACCTGAAGTCACCTGCGATCTACAAATTTTCTTGTAGCGGACCCTGGACAGACTGAAGCATACCTCAGCCTGAGATAGGACCTCACAAGTTAACCATTGCTAACCAATTGTACACTGGGCGGAGTAATTTCTGCCAAGTTTGCATTTTGTTAGGCGTGGGATCGGACGATCGTGGGCGATCCCACCCGAACATCTGCGCGGGTGTCAGCATTTTTATGCTGGGCTGCGCCGGCGCCGCGACCATCAGCAGAGGGCTCGTGGTCGCCGGGCTGGGTTAGGATAGTTAGGATGGGTCACCATCTATTGAATAAAGAATACGATGAATATCCCGTCGCCTAATACTAATAATCAAGTCCGAAAGTTATTAAATATTACTGACGCCCAACGTCGGTTCCTATTCGCGACCCGGTAAAAGTGAAAAGTGCAATACTTATTCAGCGCGGAGACAACACTTGCTGCACGAGTCGCACGAAAACAAGTGTAACGTAGAGACAACGCTCGTTGCACCCAAGCCACCAAAATATATAGTGTGGTCGATACCCACTGACAAACAAGTGAGAACAAAGCCCGCTGTGCGTGAATTAATTGGCGGTCGAGGGTACACGCTACGAAAAAGTGAGCATTGAGGTGCAGTGTGGACACAATGCCCGCTGTACTGATTCTGTTAGTGCAGATACAAAGTGCAAATATCTGTTAGAACAGATACAAGGTGCAAATACTCAGCGCGGTCGAGGATACCCGCTACGAACAGTGAGAAGTGAGGTACAGTGCGGAGACAACCCCCGCTGTACTGATTCTGTTAAAATAGATAAAAAGTGCATCACGGTCGAGGATACCCGCTACGAGCATTGAGATGTAAGGTACAGTGCGGTGACAACGCTCGCTGTACTGATTCTGGTAGTGCAGATCAGGTGCAAATACAAACCCAAGAAGCTGAAGGGCCATCCCTCGCTTTGTCATAAAATCTACAAAAGGAAAAAATTGGCTGAAGGGCCGATCCCTCGCCTTGAACTAAGAATGAAATCATCAAAACTGTTACACAAAGCAGGCGGCTTTGGGCAGCGGCGAGGAGAAACAAAAAGACGATACCACAGAAATTAATTTGCATCAAGATCTAGAGTACAAACTACATTACTCGACAAAATTGCATATTTTCTTCCCGCTGTGGACCGAAATGACTTTTTCTGATAGATTTCGGGATTTAAAAATTTGTATAGTATTGTTTTTTCTTAAGAATTTTTAAAATCTGGTATTTTTCATGTTTTTTTTTCAGGGGTAGTGCTTATATTTTTCCCATAACGTAAGTATCTTATATGTGCATAGAACTTTGCAGTTCTAAAAAGGTGACAAATGCAGCCATAAATCCGACCCAGACACTTTATAGCTGCAGCTTAAAGCCTGGAAGATATTAAGCTTTCAAATTCATTTGATCATTTTTTTTGCGTTATTTTTTCCCGATATTTTGACTTTAAAAACTCAGGAAAAGTCGAAAAAAAGTCAGTTAGACGCATAATTTAGGCGTCGTTTAAGGTATCGTTTGTAAGAACCGATTGATAAACGGTCAAGTTGCAGCCGTTTGACCAAAACCACTCAAAACTCATTTTACCGTCCGTTACGTTGCTGGTCCAACTGCCAAAATGGGATTGCAGGAAAAAAAAGGAACTGTAATTTTGGTTTTACCCAGTCCTAGGTATGGATATTTCTCGAATATATATCCTACCTGTTCATATCCATTTGGGCTGTAAATGTTACTTTTACTCCAATGATGTGGAGAAAACCAGAGATTCACGGCTCTTTTGTTCATTTAAAATAACTGAAATCGGGAGATCCATGAAATGGGGTTAGCCGAAACTACCTGGTCAAGGCTTTACGCTTCCTGATCCTGTCCTGTCGTCTTCGTCGCATGGAACAACGGATTCAAGTAATGACCAATCAGGAGACTAGAAATATTGCAAGCCTCTTTCACAAGAACAAGTGAACGATATTGTGGTGGTTTGGAAACAGCAGTAAGGAAAGTTTAAAGGCTGTTTTGTTTCACAATGGAAACCAAACTAAATTGTTTGAAATATATAAAATATAAAGAACATCAGTGGAAGATCGCGTGTAACTTAAAAGTCGTAGCAATGTTAACGGGATTGCAAGGTGGTTACACAAATTATGCTGCTTCTTGTGCCTATGGGATAGTAGATTTAGAGAAGAGCATTACTCAAGAAAACTCTGGCCAAAACGGGAGGAACATACTTTGGCAAATTACAACATACAGAATTCAGCTCTCGTGAAGTTTAAAGACGTTATTTTACCACCATTAAACATTAAGCTGGGACTAATGAAAAATTTGGTTAAAGCAGTGGATAAGGAAGGTGAATCGATGAGTTACCTAAAAACTGTTTTCCCACGTCTGTCGCTCGAAAAAGTTAAAGATTACTAAAAGATTATGGATCTGAAAATATTTTGTCTATTAATGAAAAAGCAGTCCGGAACTCATTCCGACTGGTTACAAAAAATGTTCTTGGTAACAGCAAGAGTGATGATTACGTAATATCGTT